CTGTAAGGCTGGAACTGGCCAACAAACACGTTTCACTCCATGTATCAGTAAAATCATTCAAGCTTCAAAGAGCCGCAGGCTGCAGATCTAACATTTATAAAAGCTTTTTTTCCTCGTATCCAAATTGTTGCCCTTTTCCTTACTGACAAAGATCCAACCAATCACACGTTTTATTTTAAATTTTGCTTCATACTTTTCTAAACTTGTTCCAAAACCGTGAGAAACAAATGATCATTCTTCAGAACGGCTGATTCCCGTGCAGTTCCATCCACGTTCCAGCTTTCACGATGCATCACTAAAAGCACAAGGTGAAAGGCTCATTTGTCAGTTTTTATGGGAGATGCTGCAGAGGAGGAGGAGGTCTGTGGGAGAAAGGTTGGAGCAAACATCTGGTTCTACTCAACATGGCTGAGATTCCTCAGTGACAAGCAGGCTGGTCTCAAACACCACCGTCTGGCTCTGTGGATCAGAAACCCAGCAGTGTGTTTGACGTGTAAACAACAAAAAATCAAAGACTTAAAATGTGTCCGACATCCCCTACAGGTGACTTCAGARGAGAAAAATGTTCTTTCCAGAGAAACATTGTTTTTCAAAGGAAAAATAATTTCCTATGATGTTTTCAGATCATTTTACCTTTGTCTTGGCAAATCTACAACCAGACGTTTTTTCCCCGTGACATTCCTCAACAAATGACCAAAGGAAAGAATAACCGAGCTAAAAGAAAAACTATAAAGAATAACTTTTTCATTAAACCACCGACTCAACTGGATTCAGTTCAGTCAACAATAAAAATCTGAAACCTCCGTAAGAGTTTAAACTTTAATCCAAAGATGAAACGCACAATGTTTACTTTATGTTTTACTTTTTTAAAGTCATGTTTCTGGGTCAAAGTCCTTATTTTTGATTGAAGATTAATGGATTTAACCAAACAAGTAGTCCTGATCCAAACCTCATAACCACCGGTGAGTAAATCAAGACCTTCACCATGACCGACCAAAGCAACGCCCTCATTACTGAGGTCCCATGAATCCATCTCCATCCTACCATCTCCCAGGATCCCAGAAAACTCCTAAAACTCAGTTTAATTGAGCAAAACTGCAACATAAAAAAAACATTATATTCCAAACACAATCAAATCAAAAGACAAGCGGTGTAGGCAGTGAAAACTTTAACTTCTCTCCCTGTCTGCAAGAGAAAATGAAATGCCAAGCCTGGCTAAGGACATAATGAAAAAGCTATTATCAGCATAAGCTTTCATCAGCACTGCATTCAACCGTGTTCAATACAAACTGATTCTCTCATCTCGTGCAGCTCCCATCTGAAGGCTGGGCTATAATAAAAGGAGGTGGGATAAGAATCAGATCACTTTTTTCTTCCAGTTGGAGACATGCATCAGCACATTTACTGATGAGGCGAAGCTTTCAAACGACAATCAACACGTCGTCAGAAGCTGGTTGCTTTAATTCAGTATCCATCTGTATGCAGGCTATCACTTATTCCTCCCAGGTTTTCTGGTCAGCGTTTTCATTCCACTGCTTTTTCTTTTTTGCATCTAATTATTGATAAATTTATTCCCCACATGTCAATTCTAGCATTACTGCCTCTGAATGCAAATACAGCCTCCTCATACAATATTCACTGGAATTCTGAATAATACATATTACAATACAATATTCAAACCATATTCAGTTTATAATAGGCCCTAATGAAGAGAAGGCTGCTGTCGGACGTGCCAGCTATGAAAGATGCAACAGTTTGAAAGAGAAAAATCAAACAGTCGTTCACTTGAAAATTAAGATAAAATGACTAATTTACAAAAAGATGCATTTCCCGGCAGGTTTCAGTTCAATGCCAAAAACGCATAATCTCAGAGATTTAGAGCTTTAACCAGGTATTCTCTCTGTAAATGTGACACCAGCCATCACCTTTTGGCTTTTGTGCTAAATATATTCTCTCTTTACATGCACATTTTTGTTGTTGTTGTTTGACCTCCCCTCCTCATATATCTTGGTAGTAAAATAAATTCTAGCTCTACACGCAGCACAGGGCTCATTATTTTTTACCAAAATGAAAATGGTTTTTAACCCTGAATCATATTGTAATTAAAGCCCAAATATTAGTGAGTAAAACCTTAAAACATACTCTGGAATGAAACATCAAACCGCATCGCAATTCAAGTCCAAACTGAATCTAGTTTAAAGTCTGAACTGTATCATGATTAAAGTCTGAATCACATTGTGAGCTGAATCATACCGCTTTTAAAGCCCAAACCGTATTGTGATTAAAGCCCAAACCGTATCGTGATTAAAGCCCAAACCCTATCGCCATTAATGCCCGAACCCTATCGCCATTAATGCCCAAACCCTGTTGCCATTAATGCCCGAACCGTATCGTCATTAATGTCTGAACCGTATCGCCATTAATGCCCGAACCGTATCGCCATTACTGCCCGAACCGTATCGTCATTAATGCCTGAACCGTATCGCCATTAATGCCCGAACCGTATCGCCATTAATGCCCGAACCGTATCGTCATTAATGCCTGAACCGTATCGCCATTAATGCCCGAACCGTATCACCAATAATGCCTGAATCGTATCGTTATTAATGCCTGAACCATATCGTCATTAATGCCCGAACCGTATTGCCATTACTGCCTGAACCGTATCGCCATTACTGCCCAAACCGTATCGCCATTAATGCCCGAACCGTATCACCATTAATGCCTGAACCGTATCGTTATTAATGCCTGAACCGTATCGTTATTAATGCCTGAACCGTATCGT